TGTAGATTCCGTCTACCATATTGTTAGTGTTTTGAGTAGATTCCTTAAACCGTAATGTTAGTGTCAGAGTGTCCGATGTAGATGCCGTTTACCGTATTGTTAGTGTCACAGTGTCAGGAGTAGATTCCATCTACCGTATTGGTAGTGCCATGAGTAGATTCCGTATGCCGTATTGGGAGTGTCAGGAGTAGATACCATCTACCGTATTGTTAGTGTCACAGTGTCAGGAGTAGATTCCATCTGCCCTATTGGTAGTGTCAGGAGTAGATTCCGTCAACCGTATTGTTAGTGTCACGGTGTCAGGTGCAGATTCCAGGTATAGTATTGTTAGTGTCACAGTGTCAGGAGTAGATTCCGGATACCATATTGTAAGTGTCACATTCCATCTACCGTATCGTTAGTGTCACTGTGTCAGGAGTAGATTCCGTCTACCGTATTGTTAGTGTCAAAGTGTCAGGAGTAGATACCATCTACCGTATTGGTAGTGTCACAGTGTCAGGAGTGGATTCCGTCTACCGTATTGTTAGTGTCACTGTGTCAGGAGTAGATTCCTTCTACCGTATTGTTAGTGTCACTGTGTCAGGAGTAGATTCCGTCTACCGCATTGTTAGTGTCACAGTGTCAGGAGTAGATTCCGTCTACCGTATTGTAAGTGTCAGAGTGTCAGGAGTAGATTCCGTCTACCATATTGTTAGTGTCACTGTGTCAGGAGTACATTCCGTCTACCGTATTGTTAGTGTCACAGTGTCAGGAGTAGATTCCATCTACCGTATTGTTAGTGTCAGAAGTAGATTCCATCTACCGTATTGTTAGTGTCACAGTGTCAGGATTAGATTCCGTCTACCGTATTGTTAGTATCGCATACTGTAGAATATATGTCGTCTACCCTGTTGGGAGTTGTTACTGCACTTGGCAGTTGACAGACCTCTTTGGAATGTAATTGTGGAAATGGAGCACTTGGTCAGAATCAGGATAAGAAATAGATTCCGTTCCCCTTTCTTGTTTAAGTCACATTGTCTGTTGTAGATTCCGATTATAGTACTCTCCATTAGAAGCAGTTTACGAAAAAGCTGTGTATGGCATGATGACTACAGCCGTTAGTGTCACGTGTAGCTCCCGTGTCTAATAAACCAGTTAATTATTGAAAGAAATCGTCCTCAGTGTAGATTGGAAACTGTTTCTTTACTGAAGTACATGAGGCCTATCACAAATACCTTTCTTATTCATATCCCCAGATATAAAGAAAAATGACTGAACCATTATGAATGTTATAACCTACCCAAGCACTGAGTGTTCCAAGTAACTATGACAACCTCGTACTTTTTTTCAGTTTCACGTGATTGAAATGAATCCAGACAGTTTCCTAATTACAGCCTACGAGATCAAAACTGTCAATGTAAAGACAAGTGATTTATTCGCAGTCATGTAATGTGAATAAAATGGTAGGTTCTACGTTTTTCGCTGAGTAAACATTCTCAAGGTAAGTGAAGTAATATAGCTGGACCTATTTGCAGACACTCAATCGATATGGAAAACCCCTACCATGAGGAAACGGTAGTTTCATATGTCGATAGCTGAGTATACATGAAATCGTTTTTTCTCCTCTAATTAATTGTTTGATATGGTGCCCGCATCATCTATGCTCGATCAATGTCAGTTGACAATTATGTCCTTCGTTACATGTCTGTAGATTCCTCAATGACATTTTTCAATCGATTAATATTGTTGTTCTTTTGGGATTTTCTAATGGATACATACTCGTCACTTGTGTGGACATCTTCTCGAGCGTGCGGGAAACCAACTGATGTAATTATGTATATCTGTATCTCATTTTAATCGCTACTTGCTCTGCTCTCAATACAATGGCCTAATTCCTTTTGGGTTACGCACAGGAGAGTAATTTAATCCTGGTGTGCAATAAAATGCTTTATGAAACGATCAATGATACACAGGTGAAAGAGCAGTCATATGACAATATATCGTGATTTAAATGAGTTTCAGGATATAAGGTTGTTCTTTACACTGTTCATGCAGTTAGGAGTATTTGGTCCTTGGTGTTAAGCGCTGCACTCAGCAATTTTCCAGTTTCTAAATAATCGCGTCTGGAACAGACAGTCCAGTGATTGATATCATGAGCATTGGTCTACACAAATGGGTTACGATGACATGTATCAACCACGCCAGAAAGACTGACCACCCGATCACGTTGGTTGCCTCTTACGAAAAGAACGGGTTGCTGAAGACCAAGTCCTGTCAGAGTTGGGGGGTAAAATGTTTTTGGTAAAACCCTGTCAGCATCAATAGAGGGATATCGGTACTGGCTTTACTGTGCCCATCTCGAGAATCGAACCAGGGTTTAGACGTGACAAGCGAGCGCATTAATCACTGAGCCATCTCATCAAATCTTGATGCAAAGAAGTCGTGGTGGTATTATTCTAAGTATAAAAGTATAATAACCATATGAATCCTCTTTATGTGATAGATAGATTTACTTTGTGAAAAATGACGAATGTGTCCTTGCATAAAGCAATCAAAAATGAGAGTCATACGTGAAATCATTATATGAGTATATCATACCTTTGTCGGAAATAACAAATAAGTGAATAGTGAATTTAATAACAGAGTAATATCCAACTACATCACAGATGACGACACCAATAATGGCAGAAACTGTTATTTCGATTAGAAGATTTGAATAAAATCTCTCGGCGTGACGAATGAACGCTTCGCCCTTATACAAGCAACGGCCCAGACTACAGGTGTTTAGCGATTTTTCACTTGTGCATGACAAAATGCTATGTCGGTATCATTTTATAATACAAACATGTAGAGTCTTCACCCCTACTGGAACTGTGCGACAACACATGCCTGGGGCCACTCACTCCTCAACAGGTGCCAGTCTTGTACAGAGCCGCTGTCCCCTGGCCATAGAACCCCATCACCTGGGGCCACAGAAAATATTGTTGATGTGCCCAGTGTAATGTAACCTTTTCATAAGTAGTATATGGTCTACTTATTTCAGCAATAAATATCTGAAGACGTCGTGCCCAGTTCCCTGCTGCTGAAGGAGACTGTAGTTGCCCCCTAATGGCAGATGACAGGAGACGAGTGGTGGCCGATACGCTTCCAGTTGCATCCGGGCACGTAATGTCCTCGCTTCCAGCATTAAAGAGTCCTCATTACGGCACATCAACGCAACTCTTTTAAAATCACTACAGCACTTCACCTATGGATTTAAGCCACATATGCATGAAGCGGGTTGTTATCTATCTACGTCCGTTCTAAAATAGATATGTCCCCAGTGTATGGTTGGAAATGGTTCCATACATCTGAAAAAAGATACCCTGCCTCTCTATGTATCATCGCTGTGACTGCCTACAGCATTGACATCACGCAACGTGATACCCGACGGCAGATGCAGTCTCTGACAGACGCCATTCTGACAGTTCCTACTTATCTTAGAATTAGTTTCATTTCGTAAGGATCGTATGAACACCACCATTTGTTTCCAGATCCTTTCTCCTTAACTTACCGTGTATCTAATTTAATTTAACATTACTCAGTAAGGAGGTAATTTCAGGGCATACTTTCCGAGGACTCATTTCAACTAACCTTTATTCCGGAACAAGAACTGTAAGAAGAGACGCGCTGAAAATACCCAAAGCCTTTCTACAGAATCAAAATATAGAGGTGGGTTTCAGGTAGTTGTCAGTCACATACTAGTTTAAATATGTCAGATTCCTCATCAAGTGTCCTTTTATGATGTGATGCTTCTGTATGTAAGCTAGACGCATCACCTTTGACACCGGTTACCTTTTGATACTATCATGTTAACCGGTCACCGGTCTATTGTCATATTTGCAGAAATGCTGAGTTGCTCAGTTTCGATGAATATAGCAAATGGTTTTCAGGGATATACAGTTAATGGAATAGTCAATATGTAGGTTGAATACAAAATACGTATCTTTGCTGACATAATACATCATCTGACTAATCCTACTTTACACCATCTGACAAATCCCACAGTTAACCACCTGACCAATCCCACAGTAAACTATCTGACAAATCCCACAGTAAACCATTTGACAAACCATTTAACAAGACCCACAGTTAACCATTTGACAAATCCCACAGTTAACCATTTGACAAATCCCACAGTTAACCATCTGACAAATCTCACAATAAACCATCTGAAAAATCTCACAGTAAATCATTTGACAAATCCCACAGTAAACCATTTGAAAATCCCACAGTAAACTATTTGACAAATCTCACAGTAAACCATTTCACAAATCCTATAGCTAACCATCTGACAAATCCCACAGTAAACCAGCTGACAAATCTCACAATAAACCATCTGAAAAATCTCACAATAAACCATCTGAAAAATCTCACAGTTAACCATCTGACAAATCCCACAGTTAACCATCTGACAAATCTCACAATAAACCATCTAACAAATCTCACAGTAAATCATTTGACAAATCCCACAGTAAACCATTTGACAAATCCCACAGTAAACTATTTGACAAATCTCACAGTAAACCATTTCACAAATCCTATAGCTAACCATCTGACAAATCCCACAGTAAACCAGCTGACAAATCCCACAGTAAACCAGCTGACAAATCCCACAGTAAACCAGCTGACGTCCCGACACAGTCCGACCAATCCGCCTTTAAATCCTCGTGCTGATGTGTTACACAGCATAGACTTACTTGGAATCAACAACATCGTCTTGGATCATATTGGCCTTTTGGAATATTTCCCATGCAGCATGTCATCAAAAGCACTTGACTTAACTTATCTCAGTTTTACTGTACTTTATATTTTACTGTACTTTATATTTTACTGTACTTTATATTATCCCACGCAAACATTTAATGTATGTTCTATTTTATCATGAAAAATCACCTTGTCCTTTAGATCACATCATATCGTGTCATTTCATTTCGCTGACTATGTCCAAATATGAAACAGAAGGAACCAGTAGTCCTTACCTTTGTGTCATTCCAAGTCATCTTGAGGTTATAGCGGCTGAGTATTCCGGTATGATTGTTTATATGCTGCAATGCTAGTTCCACCGCGGGTCTGACACCCCGTCCAATAGCTCCCTCGGGGATGTTCTCGTCCGTAGGGAACAATCCCGCTATGTATACATCCTGTTTTGTCTCTGTGTTGCAAGCCACCCCACAAACAATGCACAGTAGCACGGCCAGAGCAACCATACTCATTCCTGTCCTGAAGCAGTCAACAGTCCAGCTACGATCAAGAGAAAGTTGTTTTGTTTACAAGTCATGTTCCCTTTGTGATATTGCCCTTTGATGAAAAACATGTATCTGTGAGCATCTCCCAACTTGCTTCCAATGCTACGGATAGCATTGCCCTGCTTGTTCTGTCTGAGCCTCTTGGGAACTGTCCAACACAAGACAGCATGATAGCACTGTTCGTAGATCAAGAGATCTGAGGAATTTTTTATTGGAGTGCGAAGTTTTCAAATCGCATGTTGACACTCCTGATGTTTTAATCCTTCCCGCGCTTCACTCGATTGTCGTCTGCTAGTTAGGTACAGCAGAAGCCGTTTGCTCTCTGGCTCGCTCTCACCGCCTCACAGCCGCGTGCAGCGCTCGAGCCGTCAACGAATGCCACCTTTCACTAGCGCCCTCTCCCGGTCATCTGCCAAAGCAAAGAAGAGATGTAAATGAGTTTTAACACAGTCTGTTGAGCAAGTGAATGGTAATATAGCGCAAGTGCTTAGCCTATTCTGAAGTCGGTGTCCATATGGAACTGCCCAATTCAATTTAACCTTGCACTACACTCGTCGTGTATATATCATTTCACGACCTATGGTTGCCTCTGAAATGACGTAGATTAGGAATTTTGTCAACAATGGTCTTCTAATGGACATGATAGTGTTCCTCCTCTCCCCTCCCTCATCTGACTCAATGACACGCTACCCCAAGCATCAATGGGCAGATCCACTTTGTTCCTTACAGCCATACATGCTTAACTCTCACAGAAACACAAGTAGCAGACGGAACAAAGCCAGGGTACCGATTCAGCTATATCGCTATTTGCGCTGATAGATTTCTGATTTATAAGGACTTCATGTACATTCGTTCCTTCAGCTGAAGATGTGCTCCATCGATTCATTAATATACCAGGCTAACTAAAAGCGCAATAAACGCACTTCCTACTCGAATTAAATAATTGGTGATATAATTGCTAATAAATGCATTTGCGTTACTAATCGCGAACTCAAAATTCATTTTTAGTAACAACCATTTGCGAGACCGGCCACAGACTCCATACATGTAAAATCTCGTGGGTTGAAATGAGAAATCATTATCATGTGATAATTCAGCATCAAAGCTGACTTCTCCATTTTAAAAAAATAAAAGATGTAATTATAGAAACGTCATGTAGTAACAGTCAATTTGTTGATTGGTATAGCAGCATGACCGTCAGTTGTTTCATTGACCACAGAGTACCAAGTAGCCTCTGCTGGTCAGAAGTATCAGCGAAAACGCACCTGTTTCCCTCTGTTAACCGTGAGCCTGCCATTGATTGTGTTCAACTATGGCGACACTAACCACTTATTAGGGACCATCTTTCATGGAACACTTGTTCACATCGTAACATGTTTGCTGCATGGCAATATCAATATTCTTCCTAGGTCTCGTGTAACCAGTTTTAGTGGTTTGAACATGTGTGCCGCTGCGTGTACTGCAAGAACGATTTAGTTAATTGTTACACTGGGCAAATGGAACACGGGTTATTTGGTATCTTTACATAAACCTATAGGACTACTGGCTCAGTCACCTGAGGTGTTGGATTTCGCTGACCTTGGTTCGAATCCGGTATTCTAAGAGATGAATCTTGTCTTTTGTATAGCCATGACAATACCCTTAGTTTTCTACCCATGACAATACCATCAGTTTTCTACCCATGATAATACCGTCAGTTTTCTACCCATGACAATACCGTCAGTTTTCTACCCATGACAATACCGTCAGTTTTCTACACATGACAATAGTCAGTTTTCTACACATGACAATAGTTTGTTAATCTGACACTGTGTTGAGAGGACTAAAACTGAAACAATATTGGCAAAATGGCCAGTTGGCACTTTGCATTTCAAGACAAATGTAATGCAAAAAATGCTAACCATTTCAGAAATATAGACATAAGCGTATGATTTGTGAATAAACACAACTGGGACGTAACAAATATATGCGAATAAGCTATTTAAGTCATGTAACACAATGCAATATTCTACAATCTACGTATCCTATATAAGGCTGCGCGGGTGTGATATGACTGAAAAAATACTGGTCAAAGTGGCCATTGCACGTTACATTTCAAGACATATATGAACATATCCTCACCTATTTAGAAATATATGAACAATATTATGTTTAAATGAATATAATTTGTGCGTAACACACATATGCGAATAGCAGAGATGTATTCACGTTGTGTAACCCAACCCGTGTTTGACAGCACCGCCTTACGCTTAATACGGACATTAACTGGTATACTTCACACACAAAAGTTTCACCGATTGCAACCGTAAGGGTTTTTGCCAGAGGAGAGAAAGTGTTACGTAATATCCTGGTGATTATCAGGGAACAATATCATTAAGATGGTGAATCTGCGTGTGGCACGACATGGCCCCTGATCTCCTGTTAATGGAATCACGCAAATACCTTAATGTGTTGTGGGCGCTTATAACAGTACATACCTAAAGAGGACAGACGGTTCCCCATTGTTACGTCCCAATACCAGCGAAGAGCATACAATACTTAACATACATGTACTCTCCATTTCAGGACCAATTGTGATTTCAGTATCAATTTTGTTCCTCACTATTATTCGTGCATAAAATATGAATAATATTACAAACTTAGAACATAACAGATAGATGCACCTCTCGATTTCAGTTAAATCTGTGATTATGTCTCATATTCTTTTACAACAATATTCCCGTGTGAAATATGTATACAAACTTTGGACATAACAGATAGATGCACCTCTCGATTTCAGTTAATCTGCAATTATGTCTTATATTCCTTTACCAACAATATTCCCGTATAAAATATGCACATTGCTACAAATATGCTTACAGCATAACCGATGTATGACAGGTCACGTGTTCAGATGAACTCCTCATAACACAATGTACTGAAAGCGTTTCATGTTTACAGTGTAACGTACTTATCATTACATATTAATAGCTCACATAACATACTGCCGACTCAGTTGTATTATGAAACACGTAAGGTCTTATCGCTTTGAACAAACCAGCCTCGTCGTGACGATATTACCTTACACATGCACGCAGTTACTGTAAGTGTACTAAGTTATGTCCTTGGAAAACCCATCAACGCTACGATGTAAAGGGATCATTTTATGAAACAGTCAACGTAACAATGGTTCAAGGACGGCAATTCACCATCGAGGAGGAATTGTATACAGGTATCATTCCAGGAACCATCGGGGAAATCCTCCGCTGGAGACTGCCGTGAAATCGATAATTTGTTTACCTACGTACGCGCGTTTCATTCACCTGATATAGATGTGTATTATTAATATGTTTGACATAATACGTTGTGGGTTCATCTTTGATGAAACGGTGCTCTCTCCCGCCCTTGTTTCCACCGAGTCGACGTTAGGATCAAGAATATCATCCTAGTCAGATAGGGGAGACAATCGGCGGATTGTTAACGCAATGGTACTTTAAGATATCAGCAGAAATAATTGTTGCTTTCAGAATATATTGATTATACCCGTTTGTCTCACATTTGTTGCATGAACGTCCATCATATAAGTCATTTACAGTGAAACCCAATTAATCCGGATTGTTGTTAGGGAACATGTCTGGTTAAGCAACTAATTGGTCATGGAATCATAACACAAAAGAAACTTCAAACGAAATGGTTTCATCCGTTTGGTTTTATCGCGTGAACATTGCTAAGGTTAACCGGCCACAAAACGAGGTTTCCGGACTTCCAAAGTTGAACTGTACGAATAAACTTCACGAATGTTGATTTTATTTAATCTTTTCAGTGTGGCCATATAAAATATATCAATGACACTAATGCAATTCTGATATCTCTAATAAGGTTTCATACTATTTTAAGGGAATATTGTTCTTTTATTGTAAAGGTTTGGTTGATCAATCGGTATAAAAAACAAATTTTTCACTCCTAAAATGACGACGAGCTTGTTTTCTATCATCAGATGTACAGTGTTCTTCAATATTGGTTATACGTAATGGGAGTGTGTCTCTCTGAGCTGCTGAATAAGCTCTTTAATCGTCATTCCTTACAAGCCGTAATGTAGACATTTCTATTTTAACCAAACTATACCCCAGCTGTAAATGGTTTTGTACAAAGTTGTTCCTGATGGAAGTCCGGCTAACGACAGGCACGGTCCCTTCAAGATGCTAATTCACAGCAAATCGCGGACTCTTAACAGAATCGCGTGTACGAGATATGCCTGAGGCAAGCGTTTGGCGAAACAGGCTGACGATGGTCTGCTGTTTTACCGCTCACTGCTACAGTCAGCGATCGCTATGTGTAGTCCTGCTGTCGGGTCACTGGTGCCGCTGCCGCAGCCGTTGTTCTGTGGTCTGCAAGCTGTCAACGCCGGTGCGAGATGTATGTGTGGGCAACCTCAACAACCACAGATGTGGGGACGTTCCTCCAAAGAAAGTCTTCTTGGAAGGCGCTGAGGTGTGTTCTGTTGGTGGTCTGGCTTGGTTTCGCGCAAATAGCATCATCAATGTGTGGTATCCATAAGTGTTTGGTATCCATCAATGTGCGCTATTCATCAATATGTGGTATTCATCATCAGTGTGTGGTGTTCATCAATGTGGTGCGTCAACAGCATCCAGGACGTCTAGTTACCACTACAGATTTAGTTATCCATCAATGTGTTGTTTCTCACATGCACGGTCACAGTGCTGCCTTTCACCCTCAACAAACACATTGACCTGTGGTAACTACCATCCTGATCATGGCTGTGGGGTATTTCACCGCCACCATTAATATGGTGCCTTTGACCCGCCGTATCAATATTGTGACTTTAATCGTCACCTTTCATATGGTGTCTTTGACCCACTGTATCAATATGGCGCCTTTCACCATCACCATAATATTGTGTCTTTGACCCACCGTATCAATATGGTGCCTTTCACCATCACCATTAATATGGTGCCTTTGACACGCCGTATCAATATGGTGCCTTTCACCATCACCATTAATATGGTGCCTTTGACACGCCGTATCAATATGGTGCCTTTCACCATCACCATTAATATGGTGCCTTTGACACGCCGTATCAATATGGTGCCTTTCACCATCACCATTAATATGGTGTCTTCGACTCACCCCATCAATATGGTGCCTTTCAATCTCACCATCAATATGTTGTGTTTCACCGACCTTCACCATCATACAGTGTCTTCCAACTATCACCATCAGTATCGTGTCGTGCACCATCACCATCTCATCGACCCTTACCATCATACAGTGTCTTCCAACTATCACCATCCGTATCGTGTGTTGCACCATCACCATCAATACGGTGTCATCAAACCTCACCACCATACAGTGTCTTCTAACTATCACCATCAGTTTCGTGCCTTGCACCATCACCATCAATACGACGTT